TGAAGATGATGATGACGACGAGAGAAAAAAAATATGGAAACAATTAATCAGCAAAAAAAAAGACAATGATTTGAGCTTGTTCTTTTCTTAGTTTGATGTATTTTTCATGAATATTGAATGTTGATTTTTACATAAGGCTGCAGATAAACATAAATACTTAAGAAAACTGATGAGCTTAATCGACAATGCACAAGACGAATGTCTTTTTTTCATCTTTGTTGACTTGTGTCTTTCTTTCTTATATGTCGTCTAGTATACTGGTACATATCATATTGTTTTCTTTCGTTTATTCTTTATCATTGTGTCTAAGTTTTTTTTTCTTGAAAATCTCATCGATCATTATGAGGTACTTATAAATCGAATCATCATAAAGGCCAATATTACTCAGTAATTATTGTAATAGCAAATAAATACGAATAAGATTTCTTTTTTTTTTTTTTTTGTTGTTTCTTTTGTTTTTCCACTATAAAAATAATATGTTATGAAGAAAAGTGGCAATAATAAATGATTATATATCTTCTTGTAAGAATCGAGCGATGAGAGGCGGAATTGATGAAAGAAATGCCACCGGTCAAAAAGTATTATGTCAAATTCGACTGATGGAAACGGTAAACAATAATAGAAATCTTGTTGACATGGATGATTTGAAGTGTAACAGAATATATAATAATGAAACAGAAGGAGAAAAAAAAACGCCGACTAAGAGACAACAAACAAATAACAACAGCAGTAAATTTGGTAGGATAGTAGCAAGAATAGATTATCAAGCTGGTCGTTGTCGATATATTTCTGCTGTCTGGTTGATGATGATGGCAACGACGACGTCTGATCAATCAGGGCCGATGAGAAAAATAAACAAGCCATATGGCGATAGGCGATGCTATGTTGTAGACACATTGCAAAACTACTTAAAGAAACATGGATCGACCACCGGCTATCACAAAATACATATGTATAAAGCGATTTTCCGTTCAATCAAGCGTATAACTATACATATTTTTTCGTTTGTTTATTTAAACATTAGCGTTGTCATATTGGTCCTTGGGTAAACGATTTTCAAGGGAAGTGAAGACCATGGTAGTAGTTTATTGCATCACCAACAACGACAATCAATACCAAAGAAGAACATCATCGACTTGGCAACAAACGTTGACGATTGATGATAATCTTTCACACATTTACACGTTCTCTCTCCTTTACATGCTTATTCTCGCGTTCAAAGTAAAGAGACGAGGAAGAAAAGAAGAAGAAAAGACCCTTGACAAGAAGTAAACGACCATATCAGGCATATCGACATCATATCTTACAAATCTGAATACTATGAAGTAGTTATTGATAAACACATTTGACTTTTCTTTTCATTTTCTCATCAATATTAAGAAGAAGAAAAAAAACTCTATGACTGTTTATAAATTCAAACAAGGAAAAAAAAAATAGACAGCACTAAATAAAGACAAACTTACATTTGATTAGATTGACAACATCAATATGAGTACAATGAGTTACACGCGTGCCGTTGACCTGAAATATACGAAAAAAAAAAAAAATTAAAATAAAACATATTGTTATGTAATAATGAATGTCAAGAATTGAATTCAACATATAATTAAATTATAAATTCAAGTTGATTTCTTTTTGTTTTTGTTATATTTTTTTTAACAAAAAAATTCTCTTAAAATTGAGACATGTTATTAAATGTGTTGTTTGTTCATTTGAATTTAATAAGTTTCGAAAATTTTTTTGTTTTTTGTTTTCAGTGAATTATTTAAATTAGAAATTTGCATCGTTTTCATGATTTCGGTTTACATATAAAAATAATTTCTTTTTCTATACACTTCATTTCAATACAAAATTCAATATTATCAATGAAAATGAATGATGACAGTTTAATATGTGAACTTAAGATAAAGCAATAGTTGAAAGTAAAGTATTTTATAGATAAACGAAATAAAACGATGATTCTGATGTTCAAGATTAATTGATTTTATCGGCAGATTATTTTCAACTAATAAAACAAACAACTTCATTAAAAATTATTTTTGATATATGACCTCGAAAAGAAAAAAGAAACCTATTGTTTGTCTACTAGATAATCGTTGTTTCAATTTTCAAGTACCGTCTAAGATAAGAACTATACATTTCACCAATAGCAAAAAAAAAATCTTTGTAACAGATTTCCATTAATTACTTTATGTTTTTATTTCTTGTTCAGACAGAATCGAACATAGACGAACCTTTTTACGCTTTTCTTTTTTTTTTTTAATTCCATAATACTTCTTTTGTACTTGTCGTTTTTATCATTGAATACATCACTTGAAAGTTGCAAAACTGATTTTAATACAATTGTGTAAGTGCCTTTGATGCTATCTCAATAGTTCAATGTCAAGATATGTTCAGCTGATTTTATACATTCGTATTCTTTTTTCAGATATTCATCTATTAAATTTAGTACTATTCAACAAATAAATTTTCAATCAAATCAAATGATGTAATAAAAAAAATAGTTAACAGGTGTTCAATTTATTCCATATGGAACAGATGTATAATTGTATCGATTTGTGTTCAACCAGAACGATTTACTAGACAAAATAAATCAGTTTCATATGAGATGTTGAATTATTTTCTTTTTTTTTATTTTTACTTTTTGAAGGAAGATTTCTTTTTTCAAGGTTATTAATAGGTCATTTATATTTGTTCAAGAAAAATATTTCTATAAGTGACATCTTTGTTTTCTTTTTAAAATATTATCGAAATGATAAACTTCTTTATAAGTTACTTTTCGATATACTATATACATATTTTTACAATCCGATAAAGAGAACGAACAAACAAATAAAAGACACGCAAACAAATGAGTATGTTCGGTCATATTTTACAATCTTCGACGTACTATGTTAGATGACAATCATCTACCTGTTCTTTTTTTCGCATTCTTAAACCTCAATACTTTATAAAGAGAGTAAAAAGAGAAAGTGAGAGAAAGATATAAATGGCAGCATATTTTTTATGATGATGATGATGTTCATGGTTAAGTCACTCTAATTGAAATTGTGTTCATTTTTTTCGTTTTTATTTTTTTGATGTTCACAACGGGTTGTATGAGGTAAGCTAACGAATGATGCAATGATAGATATAAAAGGAAAATGGAAGCGAAGCGTAAAATGGCGGTATTGGCACTAGTAGATGCGATAATAGTTTATTGAAAGTGAAAAGAGGATAGACAAGAAAAAAAAGGAAGAAATATGTGAGAAGGTGCTAAGCAAAAGAACATTAGGTCGAACAAAAAAAAAAAAATAGAGAATTTATTGAAAAAAAAAAAAAGAAGACTAGAGTAGAACATAAAGCGAAACATCAGCCACTTAAATTTACCTCGTACATTTGTGAAAGACAAAGAAAGTGAAAAAAAAACGAAGATAATAAAACAAGAAAAGTTCTTGTTTTTCTCATTTAACTAATCGATTCCGATAGGACTAACAACGATATTCATAGTTCATCGTAAGTTCTCTTAGTTTGTCTATTTCTCAATAAAGAAAAAAAAACGAAGATTGATGCATCAATTGAATGATACATATAGATACTCAATACATTTTAAATAACCAGAAACATTCATTCTTTTTTTTCTTTGTCTTTTTTTAAAGTGATCATTAAGACAACAAATATTAGTTTTACAAATTGACAAAATGAATATTATCACTTCAATATCATAATTATCATCGATTACATTCCTATAATATGGCAACTGAACATTATCAACCAAGTTCAAAATCAACATATGCTCCTTTTTCATCTATACAATATCCAACTTTATCGAAATTTCAATCATCTATTCCAATAAATCCTTCACAATCGAATTCAAAAAATCATCAAATACCAATTATTAAAGATTTACGTCGAATCAATTTATTAAATGAATTAAATACTTTTCAACAAAATAAAACACGTATTCAAGAAACAGTTGAAGTAATTCCTCAACCAGTTTCATGTGAACGTATATTTTATACATATACAAATGATCATACAGATTTACGTTCACGTGAATCTATTCAATTAGATCAAAATATTTCTAAACATTCAACTAATTCTAATCAAATATATACAAATAATAATTCTTCGAAATTATTTCATAATAATAAATATGATCAACGATTTAAATTAAAATTTTATTCAACAACACTTTTTATTTTTCCAAAACAACGTAATGAAAAATTTATAACAGAAATACGTTATATTCCTGAACATATTACAATAAGATATAAAACAACACTTGAATTATTAGCAGCAGCAACATTAACATCATCAATTCATGAGCATTATTATCAAAATATTCATGATTTTTATCATATAGCTAAAGACATTTTTTATCGAATTTAATATTTCTTTTTTTCTATGAAATTGTAAAGTCAGAAAAAAATCAAAACACAAACAAAGTATATTAGACGTAGGAATTAAATAATAAATGTTTTACCTTTATGATTTGATCATTTGTATTTATTCCAGCTCGATGTGCAGCACCACCTTCACGTACACTTAATACATAAACAGGATTATCACCAGATACTGTTAGACCATATCCAAAACGATCTCGTTGAATAATAACATTTTTTTGTTCGAGACCTAAGAAAATTATCAAACAGGTTTTTTTTTTCTTTTTTCTTTGAAAACAAAAAAACAAAACAAAGACACTAACCAGAAGGTAAATCAGGATCATTTATATATGATGATACACTAAAAACAAATAATAATTATTTAAAACAAAAGCAAAACAAAAGAAAATCTCTTTACCGTTCTTGTTCCATTTGAATACTAATCACCACTAAAATAATGTTGATTCATCTAAATCAAATAAAATTGATTAGAATTTAATAACAAACAGAGAAAAAAAAATATCTCGCCGAATTGATTGTTATTTTAAGAGCATAAAGAATAAATAAACATAAAAAAAAAAAGCAAAAAAGAAGAAGCTTTTGATATGCAAGACTATGCTTGATATATCGAATGATGATGATGATGATGATGAAGAACTGCCAAGGCACCGATTTAGTCATTCATTCTTTCTTTCTCTCTTCAATTGACTTATTATTTTCATTGGTTATTGATAACCATTTAATATTTTTATTACATCGGTCAATCCTTTGTAAATAGTTTTAGTCATTTTTCTTAATAGTTCAAATAAGAAAAAAAAAATTCAATTGATTTTATAGAAAAATAGAAGAAATAAATGTTTTTTTAAGATTGTCGCTTTATTAATATCAATGATTATGGCGTCATCTAGATGAATATATTTTTTTCTTGATGAAGTTTTTCTATAGTTAAAAGATTTTATTTAGTAAATATAAGATAAGAATGAAATTAAAAAGAAAATTTTCTGTCCTAGAGATTTTATAATTGTCATAAAGGTTTATCTCAGCCAACTGCGATGGTTATGGCCGATGAAAATATCATGAAATTTGTATGTTGGTATGGATGTGCGTTGTCGATAGTTTTTTTTTATTTTATTATCACATTAAAAAAAATGAAAAAGAAACAAGAGAAAAAGATGAATTAAGCTTTTCATATGAGAACTGAAAATTGTTTGTTCATACAATGAAAGAGTGAGTGAGTGATTGATAGATTGATGCAAGTCAAGTATTTTAATTGATACTTTCGTTCGTTTTCTTGAACAAACTGAAAAGAAGGTAAAAAAGAGAAAGAAAAAGAAAATCATATCTTTGTTATCATTTAAATATATATATATAACTTTCCTTTTTTTTTTCCTGAAGGATGAGACAAAAACACTGATGTCAACATATGTCGCGTCTTTTTTTCATGATAGTTATTTGTAATTTTTTGTTCTTATCTTTCATTTGTTTTTGTTTAGTAGTAAACTTAAATATTTTTCTAATTATAGAGTATACATTAACATATTCGAAAATGTTCAATTCGAATATAAAGTTGATGTTTCAAAATCATATGTATTTTTTTTTTTTTTGTTGCGGATGAATATGCCGCATCACCACAAAAAAAAACACACACATACACACTTATACTCGACGTCTAAAACGAATTTTCGAGAGAGTACGAAACTACAAAAGAAAAGAAATTTCAATTTCAATTTTTCTTTTTCTTTATTCCATGTCTTTGTATTGTATGATTGGACGAAAATTGATTTGTCCAATAGACAATTTTTTTTTATTTCAAACTATGTCAATAAACATTTCTGTAAAATAATTACATATACATTCAGACATTATATTACGCCTTAGCCTACAGATGTTATATTTTTCTTTATAGATGAATCGAAAGCATTGACAAAAAAAAAAGATCAAAAAAAAAAATGTGATTTATTACTTCTTTCCTTGGATAATAAGAATAACAACAAAAAAGAAAACTTTCGTTTTTTCCTTATTATTATTATTCAATTATGTCAGCTACAACAATTCATCAGGTAACAACATATAAATTAGAAAATAAAACTCTATGCCTTTTTTTTTGTTTTTGTAGTCTCGTGTTCCAAAAGTTCATATTCCTTCGGACACAACTTTTCAAGCACCAATAAATCGTTCAAATTCTCGTTATAAAAGTACAGTACATGTTCTAACATCAAATCGTGAACATCAAACATCAAATAGTTATCGACGTCGACGTCCAGATTCAGAAATAACTAATCATCCACCATCATCATATAATATTATTTCATATAATCGTTCGCAACCTCAACAACAATTATCATCTCGTACTACTTATCAACAAAATTATCCAATATCATCATCATCACGTTCATCTTCATCATTATCATCATCAAACCGTCGAATATTAACAAGTGAAATAGCACCATCTACATCAACATATTCATCATTAGTAACAGTTAATAATAATCGTTCAACTATTTCAAATACTACTTCATCAGCAACAACAACAACAAATCAAATCGATTGTATATCCAATCAAAATAAACGTTATGCAACTGATACAATAAATTCATCAAATAAATCATTAATAAATTCAAATAATGATTCAAAAACAATATCAAATCATTTAGTTATTATACCAAAGTCAAAATCAAATCATACAATTGATAAAAATCATCATCATCATCATACATCATGTCCAGTTGCATATCAAAATCAAATTAATTTAGGTACAATAACAATTTTATCAGATTCAAGTTCTGATAATACAATTCTTCATCATTTACCTGATCATAATGAAACAACAGATAAATCACAACAATCATTACATGATGAACGTTTACATCGTTCACCACGAAAACCAAATAACAATAATAATAATAATAATAATAATAATAATAATAATATAATTGGATCTCGATTACAATCGACATCATCAATAGATGAACAAAAAAAAATACAAATTCCATCTATTCATTATACAATTGAACCAATTGAAGTTATTGATGATTTAAATGATGAAAATCATTTCGATTTAAAACAAAAAGCAATTCATGAAGAAAAAAAACGTAAAGCAAATGAAAATGAACAAGTTTTAATTAATGTTGATGAATATGCATCAGAAATTTTATTATATCTTAGAAAACGAGAAGTATGATGAAAAAAAGAAATATTTTAATTATTAATTTAAATAAATAAATAAATTCTACTTTTAATTTTTTGTTTTCGTCATAGAATACATCACGACCAAAACCAAATTATATGCGTAAACAAACAGAATTAACATGGGATATGAGAGCTATATTAATTGATTGGTTATCAGAAGTAGCTGATGAATATAAATTATTTTCTGAAACACTTCATTTAGCTGTTAATTTTATTGACCGATTTCTTTCACGTATGTCAGTAACAAAATCAAAATTTCAATTAATCGGTACAACAGCACTTTATTTAGCGGCGTATGTTTGTTTTAGTTTTTTTTTATTTTGATAATAAAATTTAAAAAAAATATATATGCAAAAAAAAGTTTTTTTTTTTTTTTGATAGAAAATGTGAAGAAGTTTATCCACCAAATGCAGCTGAATTTGCATATGTTACTGATAATGCATATACAAAAAAACAAGTATTAAAAATAGAAGATCTTTTATTACAAACACTTCATTTTGAAGTATCAACTGTAACAACACATACATTTTTATTACATTATCTTAAATTAGCTCAAGTTGATGAAGTTACTGAAGATTTAGCGAGGGTAAGAATTCAACGAAAGAAAAAGAAATTCGCTATATAACACATAGGAAATATTTTATTGAAACTCTTTCTTATTCCGAAAGAATTAATATTAAATGTTAGAGTTGTTAAGGCAAATATCACATTTAAAAATTCAGATTCCTTGTATGGATTCAACCATCCGATTTTTTCGCTAATTAACAATATTAGAAATAATATTAATATAGCGTTAACGATACGTAGTAAAGTAAAGACAAATATTTACCTATAGTTATCTTAATATCAATTATATGAAAAATTGTAATTTAGTTAATCTAGATTGTATATAATATAGTTTAATCTAATCAAACAAATTATAGAATGATTTTAATATTTAGTATTTAGTAAGATTATAGATATTTAAATTTTTGAACTATAAACAAAATAAAACTAATAGATATTCTCATGAAGAGAAAGAATATTAAAACTGCGCTAGAACTTAATTATAGTTGTTTAATCTGATCGATAGATTTATTTAAATAATAAATAATTTTTAGAAAATTATATCGATATTATTTTTAATTTCTAGAGGACAGTGTTTATCATCTGTATACGAAATAATATACAAAATCTAGACTTCAACTCGGATACTGATAAACTATTTTGGTATAATATTTTTTTGTTTAAATTTAGAATTTTTTTTTTCTCCTTCCCAATGATCTAATAATAACTAAATTTATGTGTTCTGTAAAATAATATAAATTAATTTTAGAAGTTTTATATGCTTAATAGAGAAAAAAATATTTTTTGTTTTTTGATTAAAAATAATAGAAAAAGATTATATCTCAAATCAATAGAGCCATTAAATATAAGTTTTAAAATCTGATTTAATTCGATAAGTATATTAGATTTATGAAGCTTGTAAAGTAAAATCAATCTAACAAAACGATTTGACCTTTACAAAGTTTTTATTGTTAAAATAACATTGATGGTTAATATGATTTTCTTTTTCGAATATATTTGTAATACTGATGATCTTTTGTAGGATTAGTTCGATGAATTAATTTTTAAAGTAAATAAATCTACATTAATTGTCATTCAGGGATGGTTCGACCGGAGAATGTCGGAAGTTTGAGATCCCCATCAATAGTAATAATATTTTTAGGATTATTATTAGTCAAAAGGCTGGAAAATAAATAAATGCTGAGAGTTTGCTGATTTTTTTTTGCTAAAACAGAGATATAAATGATGTTTTTCTTCAACATCCTGTAAAAG